TGCCGACCGTCCGGGAAACATCTGTGGTGCTGTAGATACGATGCCGCAGGGCGAAATACCATTGTCTACCGCCAGGCAATAAAGCAGCGGTTTGATGGTAGAACCTACCTGGCGTTTTGTTTTCTCATTAACGTGGTCAAACTGGTAATAGTCGTGGTTAATACCACCCACCCAGGCTTTCACCTCGCCGGTCAGCGGGTCCATCGCCATAAAGGAAGCCTGCAGGAACATCCGCACATACATAATAGAGTCGAGCGGGGTCATGGTCGTGTCTATGTAGTTGTTCTTGTTCCAGGCAAACACACGCATCTTCGCCGGTTTCTCAAATTCAGCGCGGATATCCTTTTCATCCACCCCGCTTTCTTTAAGTGCCGCATAACGTTCAGATGATTTGATGAGGCGGTCTATTAATTTGGTTTGCTTCTTCCATACCGCACGATTGCCATAACCGCTTTGCTGCATGAATAGTTTTTGCAGGTCTTTCATATGCTGCTCCACGGCCTGCTCGGCATAAGCTTGCATTTTCAGGTCAATAGTGGTATAGATCTTAAGGCCGTCTTTATAAATATTATAAGGCTCGCCGGTAACCGGATTTGTTGTGTTTTTCAGCGCTTCCTTCATCTGCTGTTCCAGCACCTGGCGGAAGTAAGGGGCAACCCCTTCATGATAGTCAATTTTGTGATAGTCCAGCTTAATAGGTGTGGCTTTGAGCTTTGCGGCTTCTGCACTGCCCAGCTTATTGTACTTCACCATCTGGTCCATCACGGTATTACGCCTTGCCAGCGCTCGTTCCGGGCGCGTACGTGGATTGTAATAGCTATTACCCTTCAGTGTGCCGATCAATACAGCCGCTTCACTAACAGATAGCTTTTCCGGCAGCTTATTAAAAAACGTCAGGGATGCATTTTTGATGCCATACACATTATCGGGGAATGGCACCGTATTCAGGTATAAGGTGATAATCTCGTTCTTCGTCAGGTTGCGCTCGAGCTTCACAGCCAGCACCCATTCTTTCAGCTTGATAAAAGGCAGCGATATAAAGCTGACCTTTTTACGTCCGAACAGGTTTTTAGCCAATTGTTGGGTCAGCGTACTGCCACCGCCTTCACGTCCGGCCAGTAATATAGCGCGCGCGGTGGCACGGCCGTCAATACCGGAATGCTCCAGGAAACGGGCATCTTCCGTAGCGATCAGCGCATCCACCACGTTTTTAGATATTTCACTGTATTTGCTGTTGCTCCGGTCTTGTACAAAGTAGCGGCCCATTACATCACCATTGGCGGCCAGCACCTCGGATGAAAGGGAACTGCTTGGGTTTTCCAGCTCCATGATCGAAGGCATTCCTCCCCACCAGCGAAACCAGTAGCCGGTGATCAGCAGCATAAATGCCAGGACGCAGATCAGGAATCCGCGCCACAGGTTGCGTATTGAACGTTTCATTTATATTCCAGGTTTTTTAAAACCAGAGCAAAAGTAACCAAATTGATAAGGTTCTATGTATTTCAGTTACGGTCATAGACGCAGGTTTAACGTTTTTGCACAAAATCTAATATCGTCATCGCCTGTTTGTTGCCGCGGTTAGATGGTATCTATAGTGCCCGGAATACAGTCTGGCTATACTCCGGGTAGTATATTAGTTTTTATCGTCATCGTCACTGCCCCTGACAAAGAAGGATATACTGCGTAATGGATTCAGGAAGCTGCGGAAGCGATGGGCAGCAGTTGTTTTTTTCTTTACCGTTTCCAGGAAGCCCGGTAA